TGTTGTATAATTTAATAACACTATGGTCAGGAGCTGAGGTTGTGGCTCAGTGGTAGAGCGCTTGCCTGGCTATACATGAGGCACTGTGTTTGATCCTTAGCATCCCATAAAAATAAGAACAAATAAAAATAAAGGTATTATGTCCAAATGCAACTTAAAGAAAAAGAAAAAGTACCACTATSGTCACAGAATATGCTTTGAATAATTTTCATCCTTTGAAATATATTGAGTATTTTTTTAATGATGACTTATGTCACTGAATGTTTTGTGTACTCTCTTAAATTCTACCATTGATTTTAATGTTCTACACCTGTCAATCCAGTTAGGTCAATTTGTTGATAGTTACATTAAAATGATATATTTGTCTAGTTCTGCYAATTACTAAGAAAGAGATGTTAAAAATATCCAATTATGATTATGGATTTATATTTTTCCTTTTTATTCTGCTTTTTTTTTCCTTTGTATTACTTGAAATTCCTTTATTAGGTGCATATATATTTAGGATTGTTATGTCTTCTTCTTTTTTTTTTCTTGTGATACTGGGGGTCAAATCCAGGGCCTTGTGCATGCCAGGCAGACACTCTATCCTGAGCCACATCCCCAACCCMTTGTTATGTCTTCTTGATAATTTGATGTCTTTATCATGATACTATGAGGCTCTGGTAATTTTGCCTTGAAGTGTACTTTGTCTGACAGAAATAGGACTGTGAAAACTCTGCTATGCTTAGTATTTTGGCATACCTTTTCCCACTGTAGTCATTTTTTTCTTATTTTTATATGAAATTAGTTTCACTAAACTTTTAGAAGGAAGATTGATTGTAGATACCTTTCTAGCTTCACTACTGTGTATCTTACTCTTTTTGTTGTTTTGTATTTGTGTAATGATTTTTTAAAAGACCTCATTCCATCTGGGATTTTTTTCTCCCCTCCATTTACCAGCATTTTCTAGTTTCTTTGTCCTAGAGTCTATCCTTCACCATTTGAATTCTACTCCCAGCATTTTCTGTTGAGTGCAGAGCTTCACYTGAAAAGGGAGTTTCTCTTGGTAAGTAGGAGGACTTCAGATAGCCCAGACTGTTCTAGTCCTTTCAGAATTAGCTCCATATGTCCTTTCTTCCTGTACAGGCATTGGAGTTTGTAAAACCCTTTCAAGTTTCAGCTGCAGTACTCAGATTGGCTCTGATACTTTTCAGGAGTACTTTATCATAATTTGGGGGTTCTCCTGTTTTTATGGTGTCCCTCTGTTTCTTCCTTGCTCCTCTACATGTAATATAAGTGCATGGCTTCTGTGTTCTCAGTGGTTTGTCCCCACTTAGATGAATTTGGGATTTATACTCCCTACTGTCTTAGGAGATATCTTCCTGTGAGCTTTGATTTTTTTTTTGTGTGTGTGTGTGTGTATGTGTATGGGTGTGTGTGTGTTGCTATTTTCATTTTTACCTGGGATTCATGTGGAGATACTTTACATGTGGAGATACTTTATTACTTTTCATAAAAGAATATCTGCATGTATGCAGTGAAAGAAGTATAGGCTGATCTTTTTTCAGAAAGGGCCATTTAAGAAAAAACATGAGCAGTTTCAGGACTGTTCAATGACCTCTGGAGTTGTCCCTTACTCTGAATACTGCATTGTCTTGGTTACTACATTTCTTTTTCTACTGTATCCTTATGTGCTAGGATCATTCTGAGAGAATCTCACAGTATAGATAAGTAATGAAGAAGGTCCCAGATAAGACATCTCTCCTCTTTAGTGACCTTATGTTGCTACAAAGTGTATAGGAACTCTTGCTTTCAGATTTAGGTAAAGGAATTCAGGAAGAGTTTTGCCTATTCATATTTAATATGTAATATAAAATAAATTTGCATTAAAACATTCAATATATACTTTGGAATTCATAAGTCAGCCTCAATTGAATTATTTAACATTTAGAGAAAATTTTTAGGAAATACGTTTATAGTTCTTTAATATACAATGTAAAATACCTAATATGTAATGTAAAATAATATGCAATATAAAATAAATTTGTTTTRTGTTAAAATATTCAATAACACTTTGCAAATTTAATCCCCCCATTTGGACTTCAAAAACAATTATTTTTAAATTGTTCTAATTAGTTATATATGAGAGCAGAGTGCATTTCGATTCATGGTACACTGATGGAGCACAAATTTTCATTTCTCTAGTTGTACAAGATGTAGTCATTCATGCAATCATACATGTACCTAGGGAACTAATGCCTATCTCATTCCACCATCCCTCCTACCCCCATACACTTTCTGTTCCCCTCATTCTCCTCTACCCAATCCAAAGTTCCTCCATTTTTCCTACCCACCCCATCCCCTCATTATGGATCAGCATTCACATACCAGAGAAAACATTTGGCCTTTGGTTTTGGAGTTTGGCTTATTTCACTTAYTACCTGAAAATGCCATAATATTATTTTCTTTTAATGTTGAGTAATATTCCATTGTTTTTTAATGATCTCTGTTTTATTGATGAAAAAGTTAAGACACAATGATGATAATTGGTTTGCTCATATAGATAGTTATGGAGTCAAGATTCACTCTTCCATGTCTGCCCTTTCTAAATTCTATATTCTTTTTACAATGTTTGTTTGTGATAAAGTTTCAAAATGTTGTAATACAACTGAATGGACRAACCAGGTATTATAGCTTAGATGTATCTGCTTAGATAGACTGATCTGCTCTATGAAAACTGATCTTGTGAAGTACAAATACCAGAAAAATGTTGCAAAGCAATACCTGAGCAATAGAAGGATTTGAGACTTAATTTCAGCCTAGCAGGTCACAAATATTCTTTAAGAAAAATGACAAGTTTTCCCTGGAGRAATATATGTGTATTCTTAATCAGTTTTTTTAATTATTGATTGTTCAAAACATTACAGAGCTCATGATATATCATCTTTCATACATTTGACTCACTTGGGTTTTGAACTCTCATTTTTACCCCAAATACAGATTGCAGAATCACATCTGTTACATACTCACATTTTTACATAATGGCATATTAGTGTATTCTTAATCAGTTTTAACAAAATATGATTTAGATACGTTTTAGACCATTTACACACTCTGCTGCCATCTAATCTCTGGGCAGTTCCAATACTATCAATACATTCTGCAGACACATTCTAATGTCATTATCATAGCTGATGGCAGCTAAATTCTCACATAGTGCTTCTACTCCACAGTCTAATTCTTGATATTAATTAACTACACTGTAACATTTTTCCTAGTAGGCTAACCAGGGAGAAACAAAATTCCTAAGACCCACACATACAATCAAATCAATGATGTAATTTCTTCCTAGAACCTAAAATCTGGTGTTCCTAAGAATATTGCTGCTCAGAGAAAATAGTAAGGCAAATTTTAAAACAGCAGATTGTGGCAAACACTGGCATAAATCTATAATCCCCTAGGGAGACTGAGGCAGAAGGACTTCAAGTTTGAGGATTGCTTCAACAACTTAGCAAGACCCTGCCTCAAAATGAAAACTAAAAAGGTTTGGGGAATGTAACTCAGTGGTAGAATACCCTGGGTTCAATCCCAGATTTAAAAAAAAAGAAAGAAAGAAAAGAAGGAAGAAAGAGGAAAAGGAAGAAAGAAAGAAAAAAAAAGAAAGAAAGGCATTGTGGTACACACCTGTAATCTTAARATCTTGAGAGGCTAAGGCAGGAGGATTGTGAGTTCAAAGCCAGCCTCAGCAATGGTGAGGAACTTAGCAACTCAGTGAGACCTGGTCTCTAAATAAAATAGAAAATAGGGCTAAGGATGTGGCTCAGTGGTTGAATGACCCAAAGTTCAATCCCAGGTACCAGAGGGGGGGRAAAAAAAGAGTAGGTTAGTCATACATGCACACATTCATCTCTAGGCTTTGGTTTTGTTTTCCTATCCATAGTCAGGGGTAGCTGTGTGTAGTATTATTTTTAATGTSGTATGTTTAGTACTTAACCATAAATATCTTGTCTTTAAATGCTCATATTATTTTTCATAGTAGGRATTTGACATCAACAATATGGCAAACTGAATACAGAGGCATGTGTTGGCATTTGTATGTATGTATACATATTTTTAATCATGACATTACATGAAGTTGCCTTCAAAGGTTCACTTCAGGATAAATCAAATTTGAGCTCTGTGTAGGAGAAATAGTACTTGCCTTAGGCCAAAGGTTATTTGAATGTCACCATTTTCTGTAGCATTTCTGGCCTTGTTCTGACCCACTGTCTAGGTTCCCGCACAAYGCATAGTATTATCAATCATTGGCTTAGGGCCTTTTCTGAGCATTGATAATGGGATTAGAAGACTTTTGTTAAGTTTTAAACCTACCATTTACTAATCATGTGTTCTTTCTCAAAAAAACCCTTTTAAAACTCTGAGTTTCTTATAGCTGTAATAAGATGCAACCTCTGAGTTGCACCTTCTGAAGACTGGCCCTGATCAGTCCACTGTCACARTACTAGTTGCCATATGATAACTACTCAATAACTACCATGGCAGACATTTTTGCTGTCTCCTAGGACTTTCTTCCTACAAGTCCCCCGCCAACAATGCAAGAGGACAAATAGCATACAAACAACATAATGTAATGTAAAAATGGAATACATGTTAGCTTTGGACAAATGGCTAATATTATTTTCTTAGAGTGTAGAAACGAAGTATAAGCCCACTGCTTCCAATATGCCCAAACTTGATTTATAGTTCATTGCTGAAATATACAAGACACATAACAAGTGATTAAAAATGAAATTGGACTAGGGTAGTTGTCAGTATAAAGAGGATTCTTGTCAGATACCTCTATCTCCATCTAAAACTCTAACATGAAACCATGAAGAACTATTGTTGGTACCTGAAGAGTTAGAATCCTCTTGGTAGTAATAATTGTGCATGAATGAAATCAGCATTTGGATGAGGAAAGGCTATCCCATATTGGAAAGTAATCATAGCTTTTATGTTCTTGTGTGTATATGCTTTGACAGTTTTTTGGAGACTACAGCCTATTTCTTCATGAAACCAAAACTTGGAGAGAAAGAGGTGTCCCCAAATGTTTTCTTCAGTATCTGGCATGAATTCAGCTCTGACTTTAAAGACTTTTGGAAGAAAGAGAACAAACTTATTCTACAAGAAAGGTAGGTATTTTCTTTTTCACAATGGCATTTAAAAACTGGAATTTTATTAGGTGTAATACCACTGGAGTTGCCAACATTCATGGCCTGAATGAAAAATTAGATGACCCTCAGCCTGGGGCAGCAAGTCTAAAAGGGTGCTGACATTTGGCAGAATTTGGAGTTTTAATAATAAGAGTCAGCCCTAGGCTGTGACACTATAGAGAATAGCTGGGGGTAGGGTCAGTTTGAAGGGACCACTATCTGGTAAAACAATTTTTGTCGTGAAAACAGACACACACACACACACACACACACACACACACACACACACAAGCAAACAAACCATGTAAGAAGGGTCAAATAACCCCACTGGGATCATAAACCCACTTACCACTGAACAGGATAGCAAGGGATATCAAGATAAGAGGAATAGTTTTTCTGTTTGTTTTTGATCAAACACACAGGATATTGTCAGTCTCACCATTCTTATCCAAATGTCACCAAGAAACACCGATGATCAATAGTTTTTAAAAAGGTCTTTCAAGATTCTTGTGGAATTGCATCACATTTCCTAAAATAAATCTTCTCAGGAATGAAGGAAAATTTCTCCTGTTAAGTATATGAAACAATGTCTTTGTGATTATGAAATTCCACAGAGGGGTATTAAATATTAAGCCATGAAGAAAGCTAGCCCTCCCAGCTCAGCCTCCCTAAATAACTGGGTCTAGTGGGAAATGAAAGGGAAACTTAATCCACACTATAAAGCAAAGCCTAATACCGAACAAATTAGTGTACTTCCTAACATCCCTGCAGTAACAATGACTTTGCTTTAGAGCTTTAGAAAACATACATCCTGAGAGACTTGGTTCATCACTACCACAAAATTCCAATTTTCTGCTTACTGTCTTTATTTTAGTCTGCTTCCATATGAAACCCGATGTCAGCATAGGTTTTGGTATCTCCTTAAATCAGGTGAAATAATTGCTAATGTTTATTGAGCATGTAGAAAATGCCAGACCTGTGCCCACGCCTATGATCGAAGTCACATGTCTCTTAACAATGGGGACATGTGCTGAGAAATAAATTGCTGGGTGATTTCATGGTTGTKCGAACATCACAAACTGTGTTTAAATAAACTTACGTGGCCATGGCATCTCCAGGTGATTTACTTCTTTGGGATCATTGTCATATATACCATAAGTTACTGACTGAAGTGTTATATAGCACATGACTATAATTTCTCAGATTCATAGATTTGTCATAGGAGAAACTCTACCCCTGTGAATAGCAGATGGGAAAAAAGCAGTCTGGACAAAAACAAAACATATTATTATTATTATTATTATTATTATTATTATTATTTGTCAATTGACCTTTATTGTATTTATTTTTATGTGGTGCTGAGAATTGAACCCAGTGTCTCACACATGCTAGGCAAGTGCTATASCACTGAGCTACAGCCCTAGGAAAACACTTTAAATGTCATTCTAAACATAATGAGCTTCAATCTCAAAATGCATCAGTAGGAGTCAGYTTAAAAGTTGAGATGTTAGTAGTTTAATAAATAATGCTTTAAAATAGACGCATTTGAATCATTTTTACTTTCTTTCAGATTCAGTCATGTAATAAGTGATTTTTCTACTTAAAAAAAAAAAAGAGAAAAGCTTGCTCAGGTTAGAAAATTGTAAGGGAGAAACTTTTTTTTTAAAAAAAGAAGCATTTGTAACCTTAGCATATYGCACACAGCTTCCCTTCTTTCATCCCTAACCTAAACTTACTGCCCTAGAAAAGGATCTGAAACTCACTCACAYAAACATTGACGATGGGAAAAAGTAGCATTTCACCTGGCATGAATATTTGCATCATGTCTAGGATTAGAGACCTTAATACTGTAATGACAGTATTGTGACAGCAGAGGTGGTATGATTTAGGCATCAAAGAGACAGAAATAAGTACAAGAATAGCTGCCCTGATACACATCAGGTAAACAAGGACAGGAGCAATCTCTTCATGGCTCTTACCTCTACCACCATGCCGAACATAAAAACTGGTGAGATGCCTCCTGGGAGAAAATGTTGAGACTGAGTCAGATGCACAGCTACTAGGCATACTCAGTCTCAACCAATGTGGCTTTGTGAGATACTATATTATCAGCAACAATCCTATTTCTATGGGATAATATATATTTGACATGCCTGAAATAAGCTTTTCCTCAACTTTCTAACACCAACCAGATCTTTTTTATGCTKCTTGGTGCTTGTGGTGTCTCTTTCATGCTGTGCGGCTCTTGGACTCAGGTTGGTGACCCTACTTTGATTTTGGCAWTATTGTGAATTGGCAGAATACAAGTACTCTTCACTACAGATTCTAATTTTACTGAATCATATGCTTTTAATAAATGGCTCAAAGGGAATACACGGCAGGTGAGAGAACGCTGYTCATCTTTTGACTTCTGACATTTGTTATACCTCTTAGCAAATGATAACCAACTCTTCTGAAGAGCAAAGTCATTCATCTGAAAGGAACAACTCTGTTCCTTTCTTTAGTGCAGGACCACCTACATAAATTCTAGGGAACAATGTAAAACAAAAATGCCAGATCCCTTGTTCAGTAATTAACAACTTCAAGACAGCAAGGCATTAAACCAAGCCCAGAACCCTTTTGTGAGTTGAAACCCAAGTGACTGCCCAACTGCACACCCTCTGGRTGTGCCCTTTTTCCACCCTATTTTCTGTAGTAAATGGATGGGTATTTCAGGAATGCTTTGAGGGCCCTGGGAGGGGCATGGATGGGAAATGAGGGTGTGGCCAGTTTAGTGTGGGAAACTTCTCATCAAGTCACCCTCATGTGAATAGAATCTCAAGTAGAATTACAGATACTTAAAAATGATGTTGTCCCCTAACTTTTTATTTCCCTCCACTGTACCACTATAATATCTATTATCAGCATATTTTGCTTTAATGGCTTATCCTTTACTAACACTATATCTATATTTTATACTTTTTTTCCCTTTTTTTCTTTTTAATGTTTGCATTTTGGTGTTTATTTCCCAGCAAGCTGGTCCTCAATTCTGGTATAGCTGTCACTTGTCACTTATCTATACCACCTTTCCTCTCCTAGTGTCTCTATAAATATTTGCTGATTTGACTTGTTACATCATTGTCTTTGACATGAACACGGAAATAAGAACTTAGCCTGCTAAAATAATAAGCATGTTTTCTCACATGTTGATTATTGTTGGTAATAAAAATATCACTGCCAATATCTTAAGCAAAAAGAAAGACTTAGACACTCAAACCACAGAAGTGCAGGGATGAAAACCTGCCTATGGAATGCAGATTCAACTTGCAGTCAGTGGGATAGGTGGGTGTGTCTGCACCTCTCTTTTGCTCTGTGTCTTTCTTTAAAATGTTCTTTCTTTC